CTAATCCAGGAAGGACATTTCCATACCACAAAAAAGCCTTCAAAATAAACAGCTTCTTTATTTCCTTCTTATTCTTTTGGTAGCAAAAACAACCCTTGTAACTTGAAATATGTCAGATGCTAAGATGTGGGGTGGTCCTAGACCTTTCCCCCTTTTGTTATAATTTTCTGGAATCTGAGCTGGAGTAAGTCTTGCTGTTTCCAGAGGGTGCTCTCTTTTTCCTGTTGGTAGTCCCTGTCTCCTCCCCGCCCCCCACCCTTCCTCTCTCACAGCAGAACTCATTTGGAAAGATTGATAGAGATTTTAATTCTTTGGAGACAGTCCCTAGGAATTTTTCTTAATGTTGGAGTCAGATTGACATGTGTGTATGTAGAAGGATAATCAGGGCTAAACCGCCTTTTCTTTCTGTAATTTATGTTCAGAGACACTTTTCCTTGTTTTCTTACATGCAAACTGCCTTTGACACTTTGATCTCTGACCTCACAGAATGCCTTAATTTTAGTTTAGTTTGCTGTGAATGCAATCTTTGGCTCTTTTAGGAATTCCCCAAGATTACTCCCTAAATAGTTTATGACACTTAAAAAAAAAAGGCAATAAGCTGGACATTAAATACAGAAGATCCATCCTCATAAGAGTCAGGGTGCATCATGATAAACAGCCGCCTCCCTTTACAGTCCCTCTAACCCATAAATACAGTAAGAACAGGGTAAGCCCTAGGGCTTTGCCAAATCCGTAAACTAAAAGATAACTGATTTACCAGCTAATTGAATGGTAAGCGACTCAAGTTTGGAAGCTATCAGAATTTAGTTGGAAATAAAAACTTGGTGGAATGGAGTGATTATCTACTGCATGATAGCTTTGTTTAGCTTCTCACTTGACATCATTTCAGTCTATCAGGATGTGCTAGAAGCACAGAACGGCACCTCATGGGGAGGAATGGAGGTGGTTTGCAGAATAAGGAATAACAAGAGATTATTTTTCACATTCATTGTCGTAGGGCAAGAGGCAGGAGTGTGGGCAAGCTGATTTCCTGCCACTCTGAGTTCCTTTGCTTTCTCATGGATAGGGAGTGGCCTTGTCAGTGGCCCTTGGGTGGTTTGCTTGGAGGGATGAAGATCAGAGAGGTTGGCAGGCAGTGTTTTTTTTCATCAAGTGACTTCAGGGATACCCAGGCCCTTGAGAGCCACACTTCCTTCATCCAGTGGCCTTGGCGTGTCCCATTCAACCTCAGAGAGGTTGTTTCTGAGAGTCCTAAGACCTTTGGGGAAGCTGTAAGGGCAATAGCTACCTGGACCTGCCCCAAAGGGTGGGTTTTGATGGCTTCTTAGGTGGAAGTTGGGAGTTATAAGTTGGAGATGTTTTCGAGTGAGATAAGGAGGATTCTGAAATCTGGGTTTCTGTGTTGTTTGCAGCCCTTACCAGCTCTGGAACTTAAGCAAAACACTGTCTGAAACCTAGGGTTCCCATATAGAAAATGGGAATTCTAAGACATCTTCCCACCTTCCAGGGTTGCAGAAGAGGTCAGATGTGGACCATGTAAATTCTGAATGTTGCTTGCATGTGTGTGCTCAGTCATGGCTGACTCTTTGCTATCCCGTGGACTGTAACCTGCCAGGCAACTCTGCCCATGGGACTTTCTAGGCAAGAATACTGGAGTGGGTTGCCATTTCCCACTCCAGGGGAGTGGGTTGCCATTTACTTCCCCACCCAAGGATCAAACCCTGGTCTCCTGTATCTCCTACATTGGCAGGTGGAATCTCTACCACTGTGCCACCTGGGAAAGTCAAATGGGGAGTGTTATAGCCTATAGAAACAGTGTGTTTGATGCAAACAAATAAGTTAAAAACTGATTCCCTTAAAATGCAGTGTTTTAAAAAACAAAATGCAGTGTTTTAAGAAAATGAATCTGTTGGCTAGAGTGAAGCAACCTGATTCCTGAGTGTGAATGTCCACGAGCAATGGGGAGGGCTGGGCAGAGTAAACAAATTTGCAGGAAGCAGTCTGGCTTCTCACTAGCCTTGCAGGTGCATCTGAACGTGAGGCTGGGTGTGTCCGGGGCTGGTGGGAATGGATATGTGTCTGTATTCCTGCTTCTGGCTCTCAGAACTGTCCCTCCTGGCATCTCCTGGCACGTGTGACCCCAGTGCTGGGAGACTGCCCTCCAGAGATGACCAGAGGGTTGGTCTCAGCTCCTCACTCGTGCCAAGCTCTTGCGCATCTCAGGGCCCCTCCCAGCTGCTCCCTCACTTTCTCCAGGTCTCTACTCAGATGTCACCTCTTTGGGGGGGCGGGCTCCGGTCACTTCTTGGCCTGAGGGACCATCCTGGTGAGATGCAAATGCTGTCTGTCTTGCTAAGGGTTTGGTTACAGGAATGTATGTGTTTGTCAAAGCTCATTAGATGGCTTTGATAAACACGCGCACTTGAGATCGGTGCATGGTACACTTGAGATTTTTGCTTTTTTTGGTATGTAAATTTACTTCAAAAGACCATCAACAAACATTTTACTTCTGATTAATGATATAAAACAGTCACATATCAGCAGTTTCTTATGGTTCAACCAAATTCTTTGCCCCAAACCTGGAAAGGAACTTCAGAAGGTGCTCCAGAGATCAGTGGCCTCGGCTCACTTGGGAGCTTGTTAAAATGCAGATTCTCAGGGCCCTGCAGATTGGCCAGGCTAGCTCTCGGGGTGGGGCCTAGTGCTGTGTGATTTAGCGAGACTTCCAGGTGACTCTGAAGGGTCTCAAGTTTGATGGAGGCCAGGGACTGCTCCAGTGGGCAAGCAGGTGGTGCTGTGAAGGTCAGGGTCTGTTGTGGGCAGAGCAACACCCCTTGTCTCTAGCTTTTTCTCAGCATGTCCTTTGGTCCTCAGGCCCATTAGCTCCACCTCTGCATCCTGAGGTCACCTCCTTCTCCCCTCTCCACTGTCCCCATCCTGGTCCAGGCAGCAGCATCTCTCACCTGGATGTTCACCTCCACCCTCACCTACCTACAGTCTCCACTCGGCAGCTCAGTTATCTTTCCAAGCTGTGAGTTAGACTACACCACTCACCTGTGTGAGACCCTCCATTGGCACATCCACTAAAGTCACAGTCATCCTCGAGGTCTGCAAGATCCCTGGGGCCTGCCCCTGTCCTCTCTCTGACCTTAGCGTCCTCCAGAGCAGCTCCACAGGCCTCCTTTCTTTCTCTTGACCCTCCAAGCCTTCTTCTCCATTGCCCCTGATATTCCCCCTGTGCCCAGGCTGTTTGGCTCTTTCTCATCCTTTCGACCTTAAAATGCAGTGTTTTAAAAAACAAAATGCAGTGTTTTAAGAAAATGAATCTGTTGGCTAGAGTGAAGCAACCTGATTCCTGAGTGTGAATGTCCACGAGCAATGGGGAGGGCTGGGCAGAGTAAACAAATTTGCAGGAAGCAGTCTGGCTTCTCACTAGCCTTGCAGGTGCATCTGAACGTGAGGCTGGGTGTGTCCGGGGCTGGTGGGAATGGATATGTGTCTGTATTCCTGCTTCTGGCTCTCAGAACTGTCCCTCCTGGCATCTCCTGGCACGTGTGACCCCAGTGCTGGGAGACTGCCCTCCAGAGATGACCAGAGGGTTGGTCTCAGCTCCTCACTCGTGCCAAGCTCTTGCGCATCTCAGGGCCCCTCCCAGCTGCTCCCTCACTTTCTCCAGGTCTCTACTCAGATGTCACCTCTTTGGGGGGGCGGGCTCCGGTCACTTCTTGGCCTGAGGGACCATCCTGGTGAGATGCAAATGCTGTCTGTCTTGCTAAGGGTTTGGTTACAGGAATGTATGTGTTTGTCAAAGCTCATTAGATGGCTTTGATAAACACGCGCACTTGAGATCGGTGCATGGTACACTTGAGATTTTTGCTTTTTTTGGTATGTAAATTTACTTCAAAAGACCATCAACAAACATTTTACTTCTGATTAATGATATAAAACAGTCACATATCAGCAGTTTCTTATGGTTCAACCAAATTCTTTGCCCCAAACCTGGAAAGGAACTTCTGAAGGTGCTCCAGAGATCAGTGGCCTCGGCTCACTTGGGAGCTTGTTAAAATGCAGATTCTCAGGGCCCTGCAGATTGGCCAGGCTAGCTCTCGGGGTGGGGCCTAGTGCTGTGTGATTTAGCGAGACTTCCAGGTGACTCTGAAGGGTCTCAAGTTTGATGGAGGCCAGGGACTGCTCCAGTGGGCAAGCAGGTGGTGCTGTGAAGGTCAGGGTCTGTTGTGGGCAGAGCAACACCCCTTGTCTCTAGCTTTTTCTCAGCATGTCCTTTGGTCCTCAGGCCCATTAGCTCCACCTCTGCATCCTGAGGTCACCTCCTTCTCCCCTCTCCACTGTCCCCATCCTGGTCCAGGCAGCAGCATCTCTCACCTGGATGTTCACCTCCACCCTCACCTACCTACAGTCTCCACTCGGCAGCTCAGTTATCTTTCCAAGCTGTGAGTTAGACTACACCACTCACCTGTGTGAGACCCTCCATTGGCACATCCACTAAAGTCACAGTCATCCTTGAGGTCTGCAAGATCCCTGAGGCCTGCCCCTGTCCTTTCTCTGACCTTAGCGTCCTCCAGAGCAGCTCCACAGGCCTCCTTTCTTTCTCTTGACCCTCCAAGCCTTCTTCTCCATTGCCCCTGATATTCCCCCTGTGCCCAGGCTGTTTGGCTCTTTCTCATCCTTTCGACCACCCCTGGCCTCCAAGTGAAAACTGTCCTCCCTACGCCTAGATTCTTAGCCCATCACCCCGTGTCCTTTCTCCCCGGCACTTATTATGCTCCTCATTTGTTTATATGTTTGTTGATTGTCTGCCACCTCCCAGGGGCACCCCCGAGCAAGCTCCCACAGTCTGCTGATGGGGTGGGTGGGAGAGAATGTGGCTTCCCGGCCCCTCTCTGCCTCTCTCCTCCCACAAAACTGCCTGGTACTGCTGGGCCTTGCTTTGTGGCCTCCTGGCCTGACTGTCCTGCTCTGAGCCTCTCTCTGTCCCACAGGCCTGTGCCCACCGCTGGAAGAACATCTACTATGAAACAGACCACATCCTGCCCCACGGCTTCTGTTACATCATCCCGTCCAACCTCCAGGCCAAAGGCAGGACGCTGATCCCTTGCTATGAAGGTGAGTGCCGGTTGATCCTTCCTTGCCCCCAGCCCACAGAAAACCCCCACCCATTTCCACACCACCATCCAAACACTCCCCGCTGCTTTCCACACTCAAACAGGAGGGCTGCACCATGTCCCCAGGTGGCCCTTTGGTGTCTGAGGATCAGGTAATGAGGAAGGTGCGAAGGGACAGCATTTCCAGGCCTTGCCCAGCCTTGCCCATCTATGCCACAGAGCCCATGGTACTCCCCAAGCTTTATGAAGTCTCAGACTGAAATTCACCAGCCTCTTGATTTCCTGACACTGCCAGATGCTGTGCAGCCTTGGGAAACTTGCTTTCCCTCTCTGGGCCTCTTTCCTTCCCCTGAAAATTCAGAGGTTGGCTCAGATGGCCTCCATAGTCCTGTGCAGCTTCCGAATGGCCATAAGACTCCCGAGACAGCTCCTGGCCACACCCATGGACAGATGTCCTGAGACAGAGGGAAGAGAAGGCCCAGGGTTCAGTCACTCTGTGACATCTCAAGTCTGGTTTTCCTTCTCATCCAGCCCACGCACCCTGGCAGGTGCCGGAGAGTTGGGTGCACCCTCAGCGTGGTCTTGAGAGCCCCTCACCAAGGGGCACTTAGAGTCTGGGAAGGAAAATGTTTTCTCAGCCTCCCTGCTTAGAAGCTTCTAATGCCTGGGCTTGGGACCATTGAACATCATGACTTAGCTCAGTTGAATTTGAGTTTTAAGGATTCAGTGTCACTTACTGCAGGTTCATAACTTGTGCTCTGAGGATTTTCTTAGCCTGATTTTAAGTGAGCTAAGTGCTTGGCTGTTTATGTTTTAATTCCCTCCCTAATTTATTGTTTGGACAGAAATCTCCACTAGCCCATGGCCACCTCTCCCCTGGGCCTCCAATTTTGTGGCCATGGAAGAGGGGCCCTGGGAAAGGCCGGGTCCCTGCAGGAGGCACGGACCCTCTGCTCCTTGAGCGGGACCCTTTCTTTGATCCCACGTCAGCATCTGATCAGCTCTGGCAGGAGCATGCCAGGCAGCTGAACTCTGGCCCTGTTTATCTCAGAATTGCCACAGTCATAAGGGAACCCTCACCTGAAAAATGGATGACGATGTGATCAGTCAAGAGGGGGAGGGATAGGTCAGATATAGATAAGGGGCCAGGACTGTGTCCTGACCGCCCCAGCTTGTTGCTGACTGGGTAGCTCGTCAGGTTGGGGAAGACTGAGAGAGTTGGTAGGACTGATGGAGGTGGTGGGGATTGAACTCACTAGTTATGCAATAGAACCAGGACTCTGGTTTTCCCAGAAGGTATGTTGTGAAATAGGACCACGTTGCCACCCCTGGCGACTCCTCTGTACACCCCCACAGGTGTCAGAAAGCAGGACTGCCCTCAGGCGAGGGAGCTGGGGTCGCATGTCCACGTGAATGTGTAGCTGCCGTGGCTCACTCTTTCAAAGCATCTGTTATCTGGCAGCTGGAGTGGGTGAGTCAATAGTAGAATGTGGTTGACCTGGGCACTTTTATATATTCTCTCATTTCATGCAAACTTGGTATCTTTCTTCACTTGGGTTAGTTGCTTTTGAAAGTTATTGCAGAACCCCAGTGGGGAGCAGGAAAGAGAGAAAGGGGAAGGCAGCACATGTGTGGATGTTCCCCATGAGTTACTAGTCTGGGCCACTGGGATGCAATCTAAGGGCCAGCGTAGGACACAGGCTTCCTAATTCTCCTGCCGGAGGGAGGAGGAGCTGGGTCTGTATCCACTGTATCCACGTTTGTGGGCAGGGAAAGTCCCCAGGCAGAGAGATGCGGGTGCTGGCTGGCAGGTGGAAGTCAGGCCGCGTCACAGAAGTGTTGAGGGGGCCTGGGGGGCTCCTGTGAGTGGGCTTCTGTGTTGCCTTTCTCCTGGTACAGGTGAGGATGTGTTTAATTGCCAAAGGTCACTCAAACAGCAAATGGTGCATAGAGCTGGGTTTTGGGTTTTGCATCTGTCTGACCTCAGCAAATCATTTTGTCCCCAGAGGTCGGAGGGACTGGATTTCTATTTGTGTTTTGGTGTTTCTGGCTTAAATGAGCTTTAAATAGGTGCCAGTCATTAACCCTCTCAAAAGCAGAGAAGGTGACTGAACTGTCCCAAGGGTCCAGTCACCAGGGGAGGGGAACGTGAATGTTTTGGGTGTCAGCGTTCTCAAGAGCGCCTGCCTGTCTCCTTTGCTGGCGGCTCTGGGCTGACCATGGCAGGAGCGTGAAAGCCTGTGTGAGCCGAGGAGTGCAGGACGGGGCCAGGTGGCAGGGTGTCACATCTGCTGCGCGTATCCATCATTCACAGAAGAGTGTGAGCTCCGAGTCCAGGCCTAAAGAGGCCTCACGCGTTTCCACCTGCCCCTCTGGGTACTTCAGACCATCACCTTCAACGTGTTCTCCATAGCTCACTGGTCCCAGAAGGGAGACATGTGTAACAGACTGAACCCAAACCTGCGGCCAGAGGCCAGCCAGGTCATCCAATCCCTAGCAGATCTGTAGATGTGCTTGTGAGAAATAAATGCTTGTCATCATTTGTAAGGAGATTTCTTGGTTTTTATGTGACGATAGTTGACTGGCACAGGCTCATCCCAGGAACCCACATTCCTTGTGCAACAGTGGCTGAGTGATGGGCTCCAGCCTCCAGAATCACACTCTTTTCTGTGGTTGATCCTTGACTTAACGACGACCAGCTGGAACCAGCAAGGGAAGTAGCAAAGTGGTCATGCCCTCTGCCCGAGCTTTCTTCCCCCTCCTGGGCGCACACACCTCAGGATCCTGAGTCTTTCGTGCCCTGAGCGGGGAGTTATCGGGTGGGACTGGGTGAGGACCACTGGGGTATAAGCAGCCCCTTAGAACAGCGGGGGACTGAACAGAACGTCTCTGTAGTTCTTGGTCCTGTAAGAGGTGAGGGGTGGCAGATGCTTAGTTCTCTTGAAGAGGGACCGGCAGGTGGGGGGTCGCAGGCCACACTTAGGGCCCTTGCCTCTGCTCCAGGTCTGGGATCTCCATCTTCCTGTTTTGTGGTCTAAATTTAAAGCAACCATCATTTTCTCTTAATGTGGAAAAACTCAAGTAACGTGAGCTGTCTATTCCAGGTAGGGGATCATGTGGTGGTGAAGTGCAAGGCAGGTATTTTGGAGTTTGACAGAACCTTTCAGATAACACCCAGCCTGGCCTCTTTGTCTTTACTGATGCTCGGAGATGTGGACTGGCTTGCTTAGGCCCAGTTTTAATTACACGCTGCACAGTGAGGAGGCCACGTCGTGTAGTGGCTAAGAGCACAAGACTCTGGGCCCAGAGCCCCAGTCCTGGCTCTGCCACTCGTGAATGCCATGCCTGCAGATGAGTGACTGCCTCTTGGTAGCCTTAACCTACCTCGTGAGGCTCTGGAGAGGATTAAGTTAAAGCTTACAAGTTCTTAGAGCAATGGCTGGCATACGCAGATCAGACAGACAGACAGGTAGGTAGATAGATAGTAAGTACTACAGTTGACCCTCTGCACCCAGGGCCATGAGGGGCCAGCTGTACTGTGTCATCTTACAGAAGGGACTTGAGCACCTTCTGATCTTGGTATCTGCATGGGTTCTGGAACCAATCCCTCACGGATACTGAGGAAAGATTGTATGTGCTAAGCACATATATGTTAATATAACATATGTGGAAAGACTGACACTGAAGCTGAAGCCCCAGGTGGCTTACTTTGGCCACCTGATGTGAAGAGCCAACTCATTGGAAAAGACCCTGATGCTGGGAAAGAGAGAGGGCAGAAGAAGGGGGAAACAGAGGATGAGATGGTTGATGGCATTACTGACTCATGGACGTGAGTTTGAGCAAACTTGGGAGGTAGTGAAGGGCAGGAAAGCCTGGCCCGCTGCAGGGTTGCAAAGAGTCGGACACGACTGAATGACTGAACAACGACTACGACAATTTGCTAATATACTATCTGCCAAGCAAGCGTTTGTTAATTACTGTAGGATGACTAATTTTTCTACCAGGGATAGAGTCCACTCAGTTTTATTAAGTACTGAGTACCTTTTATGCCCTGTGCTAAGTACCTGATGGATAAAACCCAAGAGGTTCCCCATCTGTAGGGGAAAATGGAGTTGGAACATGGTGTCTCCAAAGTGGCAGAGCTGAGTGAGGAGAGCATTCTGTGCCTGTGTAGATGGCTGGTCGCCTCTCCAAGGGCCCAGGCTGCGTCCACGTGCGAGGTTGCATTAAGGCAGGATCATTTCATTTTGCCACTGAAAAGGCAGACCTGCCTAGAGTTGGCAGCTTGTTGGGGCCCATGGAAAAGAAGAATGGTGGCTGCTGGGCAGGGGAGGAAGAGTGGAAAGACCCAAGGGCGGGGCTGGGTGTGACCCCGTCTCCCAGGCTCTGCCTCTGTGGCCTCACACTCTAGCTGGGCCCTCGGTGGGAATGGACACGGTAATGCCTCCATTGCAGTTACCGCTGAGGGTTGTTGTGGGAAGCCTCTTCGAAAATGCAGGTGGAGGTGTTCAGAAAGACTGTACACTGTTCTCCAATCATGGCCCGACTGTGGGTCTTGGTGAGGGTCAGCTGTGTTCTCTCCAGAGAGTCAGAAGGTTGATTTAATTTGGGGAGCCTCTAAGTATGTGGGCACCTGTCTATAACATCTCAAACATTTCAATTCTTAAAAAGTCAGTCTTTGGTTTGGCACAGATTCATTTTTCTCCTGGCTCTTCAGGTGCTTCCTGTTTCTCATTGGGTGGGAAATGCTATCAGAATATTCTGTTTGGAACCAGGAAATGTAGAGAGAATTGGAAACAAAAATGAATTTAGGACACAAAATAAGCGGATGGAGTGTACCCCTAAGTCAAACTGTTCATCTGGTATGAGAACATCATTACTACCATATGGGGTTCGGTTTTATCAACACATGTGAGGAGATGAGAAGTTTAGTGGGAGGACGGATGGGGACAACTCTTTGTAAATTAAAGGGCATACACTGAAGCATTAGTTAGTGTTAAC